GCTACATCATGAGTTCTTTAAACAATAACAATTTGCAATGATTAAAGACCTTGATGTGTACTTACGTACTTTATAAGGAACAAAATTCATGCTCACCTATGATATAATAGCCTACAAGTACACTAACGAATGCAGGAAAATTTTTATTGAAATACTGTGCAATATTCAAATTCCAGACTGAAGCAAGTATTTCAAATCATGTTTGGTAGATTCAGCCTTATTTATGTTTTATGTTTTAGGAGAAGATCCTTTTTTTTTTTTTGGAAAGGGAGAGAGGAAAATGTGAAGGGATATCTTAAATGCAGCAAATGCTCGTTTCTCAGTACGGCGTTAGAGACATTCTGCATCTTCCTCGATTTCCATATGCTCCTCGAGATAGAGTAAGTCATCACTGTCCAATGCTGCATGGACAAAGGTTAACAAATTGTAGGTAGAACAAACAAATGAGTTTTTGTAGCTCTAAAAAACGGTGAAGAAGAAAGAAGGGTGTAAGAAATAGACACGCAATCATATTCCCCCTCAACCATGAAGGTGTCCTCCACGTTCTCCAGCAAGCTCCTGCATCTACTCTAATGAAGCACCCAGTGGGACAAGCCAAGATCCCTATCAAGGCTAGTTATCAGAAAACTCCACCAAAAAGTTTATATATTTAAGGTTAAAATATTACTTTGGTTTTTAAATATTAAATTTGTAAAAAATATATTTTTCAATTTCAAAATATATTAAAATAGTCCTTAAACTTAATTTTTTTTACCAATCTAATCCTTTCATAAGTTCAATTAAATACTGGGGTAATCTTCTTTTTTTTAGTTATATTTTAAAAATCTTAATAACACTTGAAAATTTCACATGAATTAAAATATTGATATAGTAATATTTATAATTGATTGATGTGGCAATAAGACCCGCATCACTTTGATATTATAACACTAGTATCTATAGAAAATAGGACCGATTACATTAATTAAATGGTGAAATCGTTTAATTAAAGAATTAAGTTAGCATTTAAAAGCACCTGGCCCTTGAGACCTAATGGCAATAGCTATCCCGGTGCATTCCCCCCTCTCCGGGCTAGGTTCGAAACCCGCCCCTTGCAAATATGTTAAAAAAAAAAAGAAAAGTTAGCATTTAAAAGGTGATAAATCCGTAAATAATTATGTAATTAATCATTTTAATGTAATCTTTAACACAAATATACTGTATATGTTTCTTCTCCAATAAGCATCGGGCTATGCTCTTCTTCAAAAAACCACAAAACCCAGAAAAGATTTTGAAACTCAAAAAATTTAAGACTACTTTTTCTATTTTCAATTTCATAATAATTCTCGAATTCCTTCCATCATTAATCAATTTATCCTTGCAAACAAGTCTGAACAAAAACTAACCCATTCGACTTGGACTCTTACACCTTTCCTAAAGTAGAGGAAAAGAAAGAAAAATTGGAGAGGAGAGAAACAAAGAAGGGGTTTCTTTCATGGGTTCTCTAGAGTTGAATGAGAGATTAACAAAACAGATTATTAAGAAAATTGGGTAAACAATGAGAGGTAGAAAAACAAGACTTGAAGATTGAGAGCCTTTTCACAAATCTACACTTAGGGTTTCTTAGATCAGTTGTTACTGCCTTCTCTAGAATACCATTTTTAAACCCTCATGCACAAGTCTAAATAAAACTAGTTATTGTAGCTCAAAATGAAAAGTTCTTGATTTCCTTTAATTTCAAGATTTAACCAAAGGTTTTGGAAATTGTTGATATGTTCTGGAACTTCATGACTTCTTTGCATTCGTGAGAAAGGTTAAAAGCAAGAATGTTCTAGAACAATATATGAAGTTTTAGAACTTTATAGTAAATTCAAAGACTTGACACAATTAGAAATTTGACTTTTTTCAACTGACCATTTCCCAACACAATCTGCATCAAAAAATAATATACTAATTTAAGCATTAGAATTTAGAGTTTGGTATAAAATATCTAAAATTTACAAATAATTTTAAAGTGAAACTCATTTTCCAACATTGAGTGCTAGAAAGTAATTAAGTGCCATAATTTCTTTTGGTGCCTTCTTATTTTCTAGCGTCGAGCATTGGAAAATAATGTTTTTTGTGTTGCTACTAATAGAGAAAATTTTCAAAAACACAAAAAATATTTTTCACCTAGCCTTTTTTTTTTTTTTTTGCACAAAACGTTGGAAAATGTTTAAAACTATCAAAGTTAATCAATAAAAATGCAGTGCAAGTTATTTTCTAACGCTAAGTGTTGGAAAATAATTTTGCCCAAGTTGCACAAGTTATTTTTTAGTGCTTGGCGCTAAAAAATTCTCATGTTCAATTGATTTAGGTTATTTTCTAGCGCTTGGTGTTGGAAAATACTTCTGTCCAATTGGTTCAGGTTATTTTCTAATACTTGGCGCTAGAATATACTCCTATTCAATTGAGTTAAGTTATTTTCTAACACTTAATGCTAGAAAATAAGTTATTAAGAAGTTTAAGAAACAAATACTCAAATATCTTTTCTTTTTAAAAATTTAAAATCCCGCTTATATTATTTTCCAACGCCTAGCGCTAGAAACTAATTTTATTTGAAGTTTGGAGTCC